GGGGGGTATAGAGACAGAGAGTGATGCAGAGAAAAAGAAAGAGAGAGAGACAGATAGAGAGAGAGAGAGCGCGCACGAGCGAGAGAGAGAGACAGATAGACCGACAGACAGACAGACAGACAGACAGACAGACAGACAGACAGACAGACAGATGGTAGAGACATAGAGAGAGAGAGAGAGAAAGAGAGAGATAGAAAAGAGCGAGAGAAGACATGGACAGAGAGACAGAAAGATACAAAGAAAGAGAGACACAGAGAAAGGGGGTGGGGCAGAGACGTACACAGAGAGAGAGAGAGAGAGAGAGAGAGAGAGAGAGAGAGAGAGAGAGAGAGAGGGAGTGAGTTAATAAAGTGGTCACTTACATTCTGTACAAGTTCCACCAACCAGGAGGTAAAAAATTCCCAACGAGGTTTATAAAACCTGAAAAGTAAAGAAATCATTAAACTTTTTGGAATTTTTAGTGTTGAAGAAACAGCATATAGCCAGAAAAGAATAAGAAATACAATATGCACATCACAAACAAAACTAATAGTGTACAATTTACATAAAACAATTATGTTTCCACAGCCCCTCTACCCCTTACTACAAAAAGGTGCAACCCCTCTGAAACAAGACTGTTATTTTCTTTCGCTTTGGGGATAGAAACTTTTAAGTAAAACACATTAGTTAATAATTCAGTAAGCTGTAATAAACTAAGACAAAGAAAATATAGACTGAGTAGAAACAGACATCTAGACTTAAACCTAAGACGAGCAAATAGAACAGAAAGCTTTCTGAATATTCTGGAAAGGCTCATGCAGGCATACACACATCAAGAAAAATCATCATTATTTAACTAGTAGCCTACTTATCTTAAAATTGCAAACCGTTTCATTCAGACATATCATTATAAATATAACTTTTGCTTGAATGAAAGTTGACAGTTGGATTGTCACAATACACCAAGTTCAATGGTGTTCTTCAGGCTTTGAAGCCATCAAAATAAATAATAATTGTGAGCCCTACTATCTTCTTACCCCAAGTATGACAGACTGCCTTTTGGATACACGAAAATTATTATATCATTAAGCAATACTGGAAACTTTTTTCATTGATTGTACTTTAAAAAAAAAAAATGCAATTAAGCCATTGCCCATCTGTCTCGGTCCCAAACTTTAAAATTTAGACATACACAGAATCAACAACTGTGGTATCATGGTTAAGCTTTTCACCATTGCACACAGAAGATGTTAGTTTGCAGATGGGAAAGTCTTTATATCGATTATCTCCTTCTCCCTGATGAGATGTTGTATCTCATTCAGCCTGGGTTGGTCCTGACAGGCAGGGCTGAAAAGTCCTGCCTGCTACAAAAGATCTAAATTGTGGCAGAGGGGGCATAATAAATTTACAATAAATTAATTAAGAAGTACATACCCTGCCACTACACCAGCCCACTGCTTAGCAGCATAGTCCACAATCTGAAGAAGAAATACATTTTAAAAATATGTAAGGGTGAACACGTTAGACTATTGGATTAACAGGTACGTCCTGTGTGTGTGTGTGTGAGTGTGTGTGTGTGTGTGTATGTGTGAGTGTGTGTGTATGTGTGTGTGTGTGTGTGTGTGTGAGTGTGTGTGTCTGTGTGTGTGTGTGTGTGTGTGTGTGTGTGTGTGTGTGTATGTGAGTGTGTTTGAGTAAGATTTTTTGTTATGTGAATGGGATTAAGATTTCACTAACATTATTGGTCAGGACCTTAGTCCATATCATGTCAGAATATGACAGAACAGGTACATAATATGCAGTGCAGTGCAGCGCATCAAAGAAAGAAACAGAAGGATCTGAACTCGCAAAGGTCCGTTTGACATATTATTTCGAGGAGCTCTCACGGTAATCTTTCTGGGTTGTAAACTCTCTAACTTTCAATCACTTCCACCCTTTCATTAAATATTTTACTCGAAGGAAAGAGATAGGTATTGGAATAAAGTACCCTTTCAGTTTTTCTCTTACTTAAAATAATTATTCAGTATAAGGTCGTTTCAGCCAAAATAAAAAGGCCTTTCGTATTGAATTTGCTGACTTGTGTGTGAGTGTGTGTGTGTGTGTGTGTGTGTGTGTGTGTGTGTGTGTGTGTGTGTGTGAGTTTGTGTGTGTGTGTGTGTATGTGAGTGTGTTTCAAAACAAGATGAACCCAAATCACATTGTTTGGCACTTACATTTTGGAAATCTTCACTGTAAAACTTACTACAGATGTAGGCTTTTGCTTGTTTCTTTTTTAAAAAAATTACAGATAAATGACGAGATAGTGGTGGAGACAGATAGACATTTAGACAGAGTTGCAGACAGACAAAACTAGTTGTCACACATACCTCCCCATTAGGTCCCCACAGAGTGATCTGGTTCCTGGCGTTATACTCCAGCAGAAGTTTCTCACTGTCATCCGAGCCCCATGAACGTGCATCCCTAATCCAGCGACCCACCAAGAAACGATCGTTGGCGTTGAGGAGATGATCCATGTCGGCCAGAAGACTGGACATTTTTCCACCAGCTGACCTGGAGAGGGGGGGGGGGTGGGGGAGGGGAGAGTGGAGAACTTTTGAAACGATTGTTGCTGGAGTACATACATAAAAAGATGACCATAAGAGAGTGGGTAAGAATGAAAGAGACAGAGAAGGAGAGTGTGGATGAGAAGGAGGATATATATATATATATATATATATATATATATAAAGAGAGGGAGGGAAGAAGGGAGAGAGAGAGAGAGAGAGAGAGAGAGAGAGAGAGAGAGAGAGAGAGAGAGAGAGAGAAAGAGAAAGAGAAAGAGAGAGAGAGAGAGAGAGAGAGAGAGAGAGAGAGAGAGAGAGAGGGGGGGGGGAGGGAGATTGTGTGAGTGTGTATAGTGTATGGTTTCTGATGTTAGAGGTATCATTATAAACATAGCTTTAGTTTAAATGAAAGTTGACACTTGGATTGTTACAAGTTCAATGATTTTTTCAGTTCCTGAATCCCTAGATATGCATCATAATAAAAATGACCAAAGCCGTCTTTCTAAAACATCATTTGAATTATGATCTACGTCTATCTGAACAGACTAACACATCACCGACTCAAGAAAAAAACTATTTCTGAGAGACCTTTCAAAGAAAAGAGCTCATGGTGACCGTTCTAGATTTAAAAGCCTATCAGACATTCGTGTTAACAACCATTTTAACACTGACTATGGACATAAGACAAAATTTCACACAAGGATTTGTCTAAAAAGCTTGGTCGCATTTTGTCTGGAAAAAGAAAAAAAAGGATATGTTTGTCCCGTTTTGTTAAAAAAAAGAGTTTGCTACTACTAATCAGAGATGAATAATATGTATGAATAGTGTCTTGTAGGAAACTATTTTGGTATTCGATGAGTTAGGTCTCATACTATAAAATGATACTGAAATATTTCGATCTGGTGAGTTGTGATATTGCACTGAAGCTTTTTGCTATTTTTTTTACCCTACCGACCTAAGCCGGCTTTCCAGTCATTTTGCCATTCCGGATTTTATCGGCCTGACACACGCGCCTTTAATGCAGGATTAGAAATAAGAACATTCCATTCTAAATTTAGATGCTGGTGTCCTAGGTCGTTGTATGTGAAATTTCACCGAAATACGTCGCTTAGACCAAAAGCAAAAGCAATTTCTTTGCTACATCCGTTGAACCCCTCAAAAACACTGAAATGATTCGGATTTGGGAAGCCATCGGCTGGACGCCATTTTGGTTCTGCTGTGTTGACCTGCTGACCTATTTATGGAACTAAGAGGGCTAATATGGTCGCTTTTAAGCACAAAGGGGCTATCGCCTATCCCCAAAAATGCTGTTTTGTGAAAATCGAAGGTAAAGTTTAGCCCCTTGTTGAATTTCTTATAAAGATAAGGGGAGTTTTCTCTATAACCAAACAAATATACACACCAATGAAACCAAACTTCTCCTATAAGTAGGGAAATGCCCACTTTTGGTGTATGTCAAGTTTTCTGGAAACCCCCGAAATCAGGGTTAGCCCGCTTGTCCTTCAAAGCGACCATATATTTTATTATGACTGTTCGGCTGAGGAATAGTTATCCACTCACTTGATCCCAGCTGTGTCATTGATCTTGTAACTCTCCATCATACTGAAGTAGTAAAAGTAGGAGATGATCTGTAAGGAGTTTCTTGTCACGTCCGTGATGTCATAGCGGAACAGTTGGTTGCCTTCCAGCTCTTGGGAGGCCGTCAAGAAACCTTCCCAGGACAGGAACAAGTCCAGGGGTCGGTACCAGATCTGGGGGCAGAGAAGGATGGGTAGAGAGGGGGGGGGAGGACATGTAAAGAGAGAGAGGCAACAATGGGTCCTTATAGCAGAACGATATAAAATAAATTACATTTTATTGATCTCAGAATGGCAATAATTTGGTTTACAGTGGCAAACACACATAAATACATACATAAATACATAATTATAAATACATACATACATAAGTACATACACACATACATAAATACACAATTACACCAGTACAGAACAAATTCACAACCATGCCATTGCTGGTCGTCACTGACCAAGGCCCTGCTTTTTGAGCTAGGGTTGTCATGTCTTGCTCAAGTACACACCCCAGTGACCACCCATCTAAACCCCGTGTCACCGACACTTGCTTGACTTTTACTCTTGAGTCTGAACTCACTACCCAACTTTTTTAGTTTTAGTAAGAGTTTTACGGCACTTGCAACACAATAAGGTCATATAAGTGCCGAAGATTAGAGGTGTTACAAGAGAGTAACAAACAGAAAAAAAGAAGTAGGGAAGATAAAGACGACAGATGTTTGATAGGAAAGAAAGAGCAAACCACACCAGAGCACCCGCCAACCACCCACCTACTCAACTTAGCCACTGGAGTCCTCATATATACATGCTAGACTATATTGCGAGAACTTACGTCAATTCCACGATTGGTCGACGGTCGCTCGGAAATGAGTACCCAGTCGTTGTCATGGTGACCGTCAGTCGAGTTGTAAACAGAGCTCTGGATGAGAAATAAATACCATGAGAGAGTAGCCCTGAAAGAGCTCAAAGAGCACATTCGAACATGTTTAGATGTTCCCCATACTGGAACATCTATTTTTATCAAAATGTTTCGCATATATAAACGATAAAATCCACTTGATTCACACCAGTTGAAAAATGTGTCTGAATAAAGAAAAGACAATAGGTAATTGCAACAATGAAAAATCATGACGATAACGAAGACAGCGAAGACAACCATAACTGCTTGACAAGAGTGCTTGTAACGCACTGGAAATGCTTGTTGTCTTCTTTAAAAAACTGTTAAGTTCCTGATTGCACTTAAAGTAGTGATGAAACATTATTGCGCCTTTCTAACTTCCAACTGACCATGAGGCGAGTCCAGGCACTCGCGATGGCGGCGTTATTAGCTCCATAGCGCTGAAGGGCGTACTGCTCCACCCTGAGAGAGAGAAGAGAGAGATTGTTGATTTTATTTTTTCGGTAAGTGTTTTACGGCGCTCGCAACTGCATAAGGTCATAGGAGGGCGGGGGACACACCGAACATTTTTAGTTGGTAGGAAATTTTGAATTTTGCCTGGATGGCGGCCGAAGCCTACACTTATCAATTTTAGACCACCAAGGGATCTGTAAGGTGTGCAACTTGTACACGGGCCCTCCGAGATTTTTCGCCCTTGTACGAGAAGGCTAGGTGTAGATCTTTCGTACCAGAAGATCAGGAGTGTGGCTGAGAGACAGCAATAAGGCGCCAAGGAGAATCAGATGAAAGGCTGCAGAAAGAGTCAGAAGCCAAGAGGAGGAGGAAAAGGAGGTGAGGGGGTGAGGGCAGAAAGCGGAGACGAAAGCAGACGACAGAACATAGCAAGAAGGCAAAGTAGGAGGTGAAAGGAGACAATTTTAGAGGAGAAAATGTTTCGGTCGCTACCCGGATTCGAAACCGGGACCTTTGAATGAGAGGTGAACACCTTAACCTCTAGGCCACGAGAGCCCCCAGAGATTGTAGATTGTACTCCCGGTTGATACAATGATTTAGATCAAAGATCTCTAATTCACAGTCCATCTCGCATTGCACTAACTGAAATGAGATACTCCAACAGGAAAAAGGTTAAGCACAACGGTGGCCCTCAGGGTGGTATTTTGTGGCCTACACATCATAGTCTCTTGTAAGGGATCATTGTATTCTAGTCATACTCCATCAAGTTTATAGTTGGTGTGGCCTGCACATATTTCTCACATATTATGTATCTTTATTGCCAAGAAGCCAATGTTCTAAAGACTTGTTCACTCAACTGTCAGATCTACACTAATATAAATAAAGACTGAGAAGATTAAATCATTGTAGCCAACTTAATAAAAACATTCTTAAAGTTTTTGTGAAATACTTGACGCTGCACAACATGTACAGGTGTGTGTAAAAGTGGACTGGTTTATACATAATGGACGGATCGGTGTTTTCTACGATTTCTTGTGAGTGTGAAATACATGTTTACACCTCAAACAAAAGGTAAAAGTATAATACATGTTTGCTGTATTGAGGTTTTGCCTCCCAAAAATTACATTTGATACAGGAGACACACTGTCCGAAGTCACCCCTATTCGTCCGAAGTTTCCCTCTCATATTTTGTCCGATGTCTCCCGTAGAGTGGGGTGGTCTTGGAAATCTTAGGGTACCTTAGATATGATACTCTGGCGGTAAAACGTTAACATGCACGAAGCTGGTGTCGCAAGGGGTGATGCCCAAATGGCTTGCAATAATTTTTTCTTAGACTTAAATTGTTCCTGACGCGAACAGTTGAGGCAAACGCAAGAAATATCCGGAGCCTCCCCGCTCTCCCCTTTTATTCTTCTTCTTCTTCTTCCTCTTATTTTTTAAATGTATATTTTTAAAATTATTGTTATGATTATGATTACTATAATTATTTTCATTATTATAATATTATTATTATTATTATTATTATTATTATTATTATTATTATTATTATTATTATTAATAATATTATTATTATTATCATTATTATTGTTACTATTATTATTATTATTACAACAACAATAGGAATGAAATAAGTCTTGCCGGAAAAACATAATATGTTTAATCATTGCTGTACTGACCACTTAAAGATATCTCTGGGCTCTGTCCTCCAGGTGTTCTCTGCCATGAACTCATACACCACCTCGTTCTGGTTGATTCCCTCCGGGGTGATCCCGATGCCGATCATACTGGAGTTGGGGAAGCTACGGCCTTTGAACGGTTGCTGAAACAAGATTAGATACGATTTTTCACTCGTTTGTAGGAGGGGGGGAGGCGGGGGTGAGAGTAGTGCTGCAAAGGCAAGAAATACCCTTATACTTAGAACGATTCCTGCTGATAGAAAACAGAGATGTAATTTTAAAACACGTTATCATTTCATTTTAGGGGGTTGGGTGTGTGTGTGGGGGGGGTGGCATTGCACTTATTGAAATGAAATTTAATTAGCTTCTCCTCCCTGTCTCCTCCTCCTCCTCTTTGTCTTCTTCATCCACATGCTCCTTTATATGTACAATACAATGTCAATAACAAAGAATGACGTCCGGAATTTCTTAAAAAGAGAGAATAAAATTGGAAAGGAACGAATCACTCACTGTGTTGTAGACGTCTATAGACCCGAAGAGCTCTGAGGTGCCACCAAAGTTGTGTAGCATACACCAGATGAATGGCTGACCATAATAGGATTGGAAGTGGGCGTATATTGGGTTGAGGTCTGTGGCTAGATCCAGGATAATCATTCGACCCTGTAGACAAAATCGTTTTCGTTTATGATTGAATCGTGTACATGTATCATGGCATTCAGAAAGAGTGAAAATTGTTGATTTTCAAAATAATACAAAAATAGAAGTAGGTAGTTTTGCTTCTCCCTGTGTTTGTATTTCTCTCTCTCCTGCTCCCTCCCTCTGCCTTTAGCAGGTTGTTGCTATTGTTGTTAACCCTTTGCTGCCAATTTTGACTATCTTTTGGACCCCCCAAAAATTATTTGAAAATATTTACTCGCCACATTGCCAACAATGAAATCAAAGTCCTCCTTTGATACCTACTATACAAAAGTGAACCGTATTCACATATTCTGTAATTACTTTTTATCATCAAGTGCCTGATCTTTGACAGACATCGACGACCATGGCTCACCGTTCATTCCTTTGCTTGAATGCTGTCAAAAAAAGCTGCATTACATGATCGTCATCCACCCCCGTTGCCCATCTGTTTAGGCTTTGCAAGTAAGTTGCTTTGGATCTAGTCCTACCTCATGTGTCTTTTTCTTTTACTCTAAAAAAAATTATCTACTTTCGTCTGGGGGAGAAGTATAAGTTTCAGGTCTGTAAAGAACCGTCAATATGAAAGTAAAGCTTATAACATTTGTCTTTTATTTTTTGCTCGTTCGTACTCTCCCATATGGGGATCAAAGTCAATTGAATAAAGTCAGAGCCAAGCCGCCTTCTCGTATACAACAGTGTAGAATAACATTTGTAATAGGCCGAAAGATTTTAGGTGTATATTTACTACTAAGTCACAACAACCACAAGGCAACAATAGACAGAAGTAAGAAAAGTTGTATATTATTATAGGCAGATATAACGCTCGTTCTATTGCTTATCATATGAATATACTGCAGATATCACCTGGGGAACAGATGTGACCAGGGCTTTGACCTGCTCGGCTCCCCAGAAGCCAGACGCCATGAATAACCATCCCTGCATAAGCCTGTGGATATGGGAAAAGGCCGCATTGTTTAGACAATACAACAACCACAAAGTTTCAAAGACAGAAGGAAAGAAAGTTTAACATTTCTGTTGTGACATGGTGGAATCAGGAGCTCGCCAATTTTTGGGCAAGTGCGGTTTTTGGTATAATCTTAAGGCTATTTTTTCAAGTTGTCTTGCTTAAGATTAAAAAATCCTCATCTATCTTGAGCAGAAGTCGATATAATTGCTAATCAAGGAGGTGGGGATCACCTGGTGTTAGAGGTAGAGTTAGTGAGAAAACAACCACCAGAGTTGTGTAATTTCCAAAGCTGTCGTGTCTTTGGAAACTACAAATTTACTTTTCTTCTGTGACTTTGATTTACATTTTTCAGTAAAAATCCATGCAGGAATGTGTTTTTAAATGTACATAAAAGATTTTAAACCCTCCTTCGGAAGAAAAATCAATCAAAATTCTTAGTTTCTTCAATTTAATTACTGTGACGAGCGACTGATTTCACCACGATGCCACACGTGTATCCTAACAATGTACAGTAGAGTTCACCTGGGGAACAGAAGTGACCAGGGCTTTGACCTGTTCGGCTCCCCAAAAGCTAGACTCCATGAACAACCAGCCCATCATGAGCCTGTGGATGCGTGAAAATGCCGGCCATACCAAACTGTTTACACCTAACACAAACTAACACATGAACATCCCATGACTTAAATGTTTCGATTCGTTGTAAACCAAGGCCATATTTTTCATATTTAACACAAACCAACACATGAACATCCCGTCAGTTAAATGTTTCAATTCGTTGTAAACCAAGGCCATATTTTTCATATTTAACACAAACTAACACATGAACATCCCATGACTTAAATGTTTCAATTCGTTGTAAACCAAGGCCATATTTGTCATACCTAGCACAAACCAAACACATGAACATCCCATCCCGTCAGTTAAATGTTTCAATTCGTTATAAACCAAGGCCATATTTTTCATATTTAACACAAACTAACACATGAACATTATTGAACATCCCGTCAGTTAAATGATTTAATTCTTTATTAACCAAGGCCATTTTTACCAAATTAGCACAAACCAAACACACGAAAATCTCAGTTAAATGATTCAATTCTTTATTAAGCAAGGCCATTTTGTCCATACCTAACAGAAACCAAACACACAAACATCCTGGGTATTAAATGCTTCAATTGTTTCATTAATCAAGGCCATTTTATGATAAATGAAACTGTAGTATCACATATAATATGGAGATGGTAACCTGCTAAAAAATGTCTATGTAGTGATAGTGATAGAGCTGTTCTTTAATTCTTTTTTTTTATCTGAGGTGACCTTCTTCCAACAAACCTACAACTCAGCAACTGAATGAATAAAAATGCAAGGAATGAGAGATAGGGGCAGAGAGTGCCACTTTGCATAAAATATATTTTCACAAATAGCCACCCCCCCCCCCCTTCCCTCCTTTCCCCTCCGCCCAAAAACTTATACACACAGACTACACGAAAAAATATCAAAAGAAACACACGCCTTTATCAAAACAAAACAAAACAAAAGTCTAAATTATGACAAACACGAAAATCAAGAAAAAACAAGTTTGTATAACCCCTGTCCACCCGTGAGTTAACATTCCTCCTCCTTCCTCCACCTTTTCTAAAACAAACAAAACAAACAAAACAAACAAACAAAACGAACGAACAAACAAACACAAATTAAAAAGACAACAAGAAATCAGTAAACTGGACACTCACCAGACAGCCTTGTTGTCGCCAGCAATCATCCCATGGTACACGGCGCGACCTGCCTTAGCTATGTACTCGCTAGAGCTGAAACATTAAATAACAAGCATGTTCTGAGCCATACAGTAACACGCGGGGCAGTCAAGTTAGGGTAATAATGGCGTATTGCCTGATTTAAGGCAGGGGATACTATGTAAGAGTTTGAGTAAACGTTTTACATCTCTTGCAGCATAAATGGGCCATAATAATACCTGAACCGATGATTAGGTGTTACTAGACTATAACAAGCATGAAAAGAAAGATGAAGAATTAAGGGTGACAGATGTTTGATTGGAAAAAAGTAGCAAACACACTACAGCACCCGCCAACCATCCAAACACAGAATACTGTTCATGTTAAAGTGAAAAAGCTATACACAAGTGTGCTCTAAAGGAGGTAATGTCAAACCAAATGGGACAATATGAGTAACTTGCACACACGGTTTTTAAAAAATCTTTTCAATTTAACAAGAGCATAGCAGACTGTAATGTGTTTAATGGCTGTGAAAAGCAAAGGTGACAAATTGGAATGAAAGAGAGATGAGAAACAAGGCGTCTCCCAACTGCTTGGACAATTTCTCATCCTATGAGCAAGTCTTACTTTGACGCTGGTAACATCTCATTGAATGTGTCTGCGTTGTAGATGTGGTCAGTGCCGTACTCATCAATTGTCTGAAACACAAACAAAGATATTGGAGTGAACTCTTTCTGTAACAGAAACTAACAAAGACATGAGACTGAAACTGTTCTGTCCACAAAAAAGCAAACACTTCTCATCAATGTTCACTCCTCTGAAAATAACGAAGGAGACCAAATGAAATGATGTCTAGCCTGAATCCATTGCCTTGAGTGACCAAAACTAACATTTGTCAAGGAGAAAATGTGAAAACATAAGAATTTAACATTGAAATCCTTCTCTGTCTCAGAAAATGAGCCACCTTCAAGCCAATTAGTAACCAGTTTTCAAAGTTCATGAAACCAACCAGAATTTTCATAATATCTGAATTTGTTCATAACATAGTAATGTTATTTTCATAAGAGCGTAAGAAAGATTTTAGTTGTGCTACATTGTAAGAAACAGTCCACGATACCTCTTGTATGAAGAGACCGCCAATTTTCTGGAATAAAGGATCCTCAAAGTCCAACAAATATGTCCTGAGGAATAGAATTGTATTTATCTCCAAGACTTCAAAACAAAACCTTAAAATCGAAAATCATCGAGATGCTAAATTATATTACGTATTATGTTGACGTTAAAGACATTTATATAAAATGAAGGGGAGCAACATACAAGAAATATTCATCTAGCTAATGTGAACACATAGCAAGATGCCAACACTTTTGGATTACTCAAAGGTCCATTTACTACACCCCCCCCCCCCCATCCTCAAGATTTCCGAAGAACTCTACTTCCCTATCTTCAGATCTTGACTTCCTTGATATGTTCCAAAGATGACACTATTAATCAAAAAGTTCAGAATCAAAGAAGGTGTACGGATGGTGCATATTACTATTTTTACAAGAGCGAACACGATATTCTTTATGGTGGGAATCTTATTTGGTTCTAAAGTTTTAGATAAAGAAAACAGAACAGAAAAATGTGTATGAAAAAGAAGTTACACCCTCTTCAAAAAAAAAAAAAAGTATTAAAGACTTTATGAAGGTACAAAAATTAAATGGCGGTGGACATGATGTTTTTATAAAGTGTTCAGTTGACTCACGCTGAGTATGTGGAGTTGAACCCTGCCCACAAGGGGAGGCGAGTCACGTTGGCATGAGGGTACAGTCTGAAACGATTTTTAAAAAAACCAAGATAGTATAAGTAAAATGTTTGTTGTTACACATCTTTAAACATGGTTTGAAAATTACAAAGGCAAAAGCCTACATAGACACACCTAGCCACTGCTACTATGTAAGATAATTTTGCCTCACAGGACGAAGAAAATGAGCAAAATTAGACCACCCCCCAACAAAACGTGTAAAACATAATTTGAAATATGAAGAATTTCGTATGTTAAAAATAAGGTAGAAGAAAATTGGAGAGTAACGAGTTTGACTTCCAGAATCTGCAGTGGTGCACACAGCAAAATGTTATGAGGAGCCCCTGATTTCACCATGTGAGTTCGATTTCCAAGTAGGCCTAGGAAAATGTATTTATCGTGGGTCTCTGTTTGTCTGCTGAGACGTTTTATCTTGTCCAGTCTGTGTCGTGTCTGCCCTAACACAAAGGGTTGAAGCAGCACACATTTTAAAAGATCCACGGAGTCGATGGTGGTGAAAAACACTAATGATATTAATAATAATAGTAGTAACAATACAGCTGATAAAAATGGAAATTATGATAAAACTAATATTAATACTAATAATAATATTTATCATCACCATCATCATCATCATCATCATCATCATCATCATCATCATCATCATCATCATCA